CAGTTCCTTGTTTTCTCGGACCAAGGGCCCAAAATACAAAAATACTCAATTTACAGTGATATAAAATCATCGGTATCAGCCATAAGTGCCTCGTTGACATTGACCTGTCAACAAAGATGACATTCACCGATGGCAGTGGCTGACGTTTTTCTGACATGGCACATTAAACACAGTAAACTCTCTATCAACACGCATGCACCCTGTTGTTTCCATGGTAATGCTACATTGTTAACAACAAATCGGTGTTAAAATCGGCAGGAGAGCTAGTTAGCATTATCTGTTAGCTGTAAGCAACCAGTGGCTGAAACAAAAAAGCTAACGGAGGTTGCAGTATAAGTACAATATGATGCATTCAAACTCTGTTCAGGAAAAGTTAGTACTGAGCGAAGGCAAATTATAATGCTCAAATAAAATCTTGTAAAATATAGATTTTGCAAGAAACATGAATAAAGACAGTTTGTTGATGTTTTAACAGTGTATAATCAATACTATAGAGGGAATTATATATTATGAAGAAAGACTTTTGAAGATTAAGATTTCTTTATGTTAAAGGTTGTCTCATAAATTAATTAATTTGTGCTCATTCATCGATAGTGTAATGAAGGGCCGAATGACTTTAAAACACTTTTTATGATGAGGATTTATTTGGTTTCCTGACACAAAATGATGGAATAAATAACAACAAGAACACAAAACAAACAACAACAGATACAAAAAAAAATGTGGGCACCCCAACATAATTTTATTTATTTATTTATTTAACCTTTATTAAACCAGGAAGTCCCCTTGAGATTGAAGAAGAGACCTGGCCGAGGTAGCAGCCGATCAAAACACATTGAAAATACAACATATAATACAAAAATACACAATAAAACAACAATTACTCAAACGTAGTGGCCTCTCAAGAAAAACAAGCACATGTCTCTGTCACCACGTTTGACACGTTTTCTTGTAAAACAATCAAAATTTCTGACACTTTTTTAATGGACTTACAGTTCAGTTTTTGTTTCAGAGGTTTTTTAATTCAGATAAAAATTAGTGGGACAAAACAAAAATAGATTAAAGATGCATCTCACCACGAGAACAAACAGACTCCAAAGTAATTGCACAGAATTCTGAAGATGTTTTTACGGCTAACGCGTTGGCAAACAGTCGTTTTATCTTTATCACCCAGCAGACGCAGAGCAACACGAGCATCCTGGCCAATCTAAGTCCGTCATTCACTTCTTAACCAGACACTCATTTACTCTGGCCGTCTGCTGCTCTTTGCTGGGTTATCTGTTTGTCTAACATGGTTTGATAAATATGTCTGCCTGTGGTTTTTGTAGTGATAGTTGATTAGAAGTGTGAGACTAAACCATACAATCTGAGTCGTATCTTTGTAAAATAAAAAAAAAAGTTAATACTGCGGGTTTGCTGTTAGTGATAATTATCTATCCCGTCAGTCATCGCATGTATCACCAGTCTGGTTCCTGTCACTGCAGTACTCTGTGGCCTCGATGGTTAAACTGCGACATGATAAAACATATCTTGACTGAACACGAGTTGTTGTCAAACACAAGTGAGTGTGTACTGTGTTGGCCGACAGATAGGTCTGTTCTGAACTACCTGTTCTGTTTATTTATAGAGTGCCCTTAATGATCTTCAACAAAACACAGAGTACACTGGATTGAAGAGCCCTAGATTTTTGTTTTCTGGACCGTGTTGGAACACTTTAGCGGCAAGGGCAGCAAGTTCCATGATCCAATCAAGAGCGGTTGGTGCTTGTCAGCGGCGGTGGAGAGGCTCCACAAATTACGTTAAATAATAAAAGGGGGAACAGGTTTGCAACAGTATGCTGGTGTTGAACATAAAATCTTGGTTTAGTTGTTCTTTGGGAGGAATTTTTATGTGTAAGTTAATTTTAAATCAAATATATTTCACTTTACACTTCAGAGGAAATGTTTTATGCCGTCTAGTATATCCTAGTTTTTTTATTTTACAGTTTACTGACAACACGGGAGTCAAATCACCAACTTCTCTCACTCTCTCACTGTCTCTCTGTCTATTTCTCACCATCTCTCTCTGCCTTTATCCCCGCTGCCTCTGCCTGGCCTGTGGAAGCAATGCAATTAGACAAACACAAACAAAGCTCTTGAAACTGCCATGGAAAATGCTGACTGTCCACTGTCCACAGTGCTGGCCGGGAGCAGCGCTGCTAACTGCTGTTTGACGTACATCACATGGAAAACGTTTAGCAAATGTTCATGTGATTCTTCCCTCCACATCTTCTACAAAAGCTGAATGTCAGCTCCAAAAAAAAACAAAAAAAAAAACTGCACAAACGCAGGCAGCAAAGTAAAAAGCCACAGAAACCAACATTCGCACTTGTGAACTAATAAACTCTCTGTACTTTATTTCATCAAATGGACTTCCTGGCATTGAAATGGAGTTCACGTCGTGCCTTTGTTTGATTGGCTCTGCTACTTTGGGTTTAATCCTGCTGGTTTTGGGAGTGTTTGAGTTGGATTACTCCATCGTTGGGCCGGGGTACAGTTTCTCTGGCTTTGACAAGATGGTGTGTGGTGGTTTGTGTGTGTCTGTTTGTGTGTTTGCGGGCTGTGTGTGTGTGCGTGTGTGTGTGTTCTCCCTCACTACCGAATCAGCTGAAACCACAGACAGCCCAACTGGAGCGCCGTCCAAATCCCTCTGCATGCAAATTAAAAACGCAACAATAAACGTGGCAAAGGAACAAGGTGGGCACGCAGGCTTTATGGCCCCCTCTACCCGCTCTCCTCCCTCTCTCTGCCTCTCTGTCTTTATGTCTCTCTCCCTCTCTTTCTCCCCCCTCTCGGCTTCCTCCAAAACCCCTCCTGGGTTTGATGTGGCTTATGGGAGGAGTTGTAACAGGGGACAACCAAACTGCTGAGTTATCTCTTGCATGCAGTGTGGCGGCGTGGCTCTGCCCTCTGTGTGTATGCATGTGTGTGTGTCTGTGTGCGGACCAGCAGCGCGGTGTAATCCTGTGGAAATGAAAGGTGCTGCCGCGCACTGGCCGGGAGATTACAGCGCCACTCTGTCACGGTGCCAGGACAGACTACCCGGCTGAGCGAGTAGCCCTCTGTAACACACACACACACACACACATACACAGTCCCACTCACACACCTCGCTGCTTCTCTTTGACGCTGTGTTTCCTCCTCGCTGGTTTCACTCCCCAGCTGTCCCTCCTTCTTCATCCACTTCTGTCCCTTTACAGCTCTCTTGTAGCTTCATCCCCTTCTCCCTCCCTCCCCTCCCCCAACTCCTCTTCGCTTTCCCACACAGCACTACAGTGTGTTATTTCCCGTCACTCTTACTCACACATGCGCTGGCCCGCTGAGGTTTAGGTCATCACGTCTGAGGCTGAGAGACCACGTCACTCAACCCCTGCAGAGCCCTTCTGTCTGTGCAGCCGTGAATCCTCAGTTTGTCGCTCAGCTCCGTGAACAAACACAAACACGCATTTGAATACTGTAAAACTGGAAAGACCTCAATCGACCAAACCAAAAGCCCAAAAAGGACTCGCAAGAATGGAAATAAAAGAGGACATGGTCGTAGAGGTTTAAGGTTCATTTATTTGTCATTTACACCACACACACACACACACACACACACACACACACACACCACTTTTATTTAATTAATGTGTTCTTCATTCCCTCAATTGATTAATTTATCTTTTTTTATATATAGAAATGTCTGAAAATTGTGAAAAGTGAAGGTGATAGTTTCCCAGACCCAAAGGTGACCAATCATCAGTCCTAAAACAAACACTATTTAGTTTACTATCCTATAAGACAAATAACTGCAGCAGATCCTCAGATATCAGACAGTGTTCGGAGCTTTTGGCTTAAAAATGTGCCTGAAACAACTGATGGATGATCAAAATAATTTGCCGATTTGTTAATCACTTCCATTCAAATCAACATAATTCAGAGTATCTTCTAATAGTGATATGTAATTTGGAGGCAAATGTATGCAAAGTAACATGTAAATGAATGTTTGATGAGTGCTCCCTGTTGGGGTTAAGTGAAATGAACTGTGATCTGTGTCATGTCAGACATTTGAAACAACTTCTTTCACATGTAAAACAAAAACTTTAGCAACTAATTCTGATTTAGTTTTTAATTACAATAATCATGTCATCGTAAAATGCCTCTGAAGTGATATCTGTCACGTTGCTAAAGTGTAATTCTGTGCAGTTGTGCAGCTTTAACTCCACTACAAGTGAGTTCATGCTCCCCTTTGTCCCGCACTTTCAGTAACGTGTCACTCTCCCATTGAATCTTTCCGTCATCAAGGTCAGACTCATTGCGCACCCATTGTATTGATCAAATAAAGCGTTTGTGATTGTAATTGTCCCGTACTGTTCCTCAGCTCTGTCTTTCATGGCCCTCTGCTGGAGTGTTTCAAACATGGGAGTCACTTGCCTCCTCCCAAGGGTGCTACTCAATATGCAAGTGTGTGTGTGTTTCTTGTCACGTTAAATTGTTCCTTCCTGCTGTGTTGCTTGACCTTGGCTAATTCACATCTTCATCTTCGGCTGTGGGAGAAAAACATACTAACTGCAGGTGCAGCCACTGTGAAACAAGGGGGTGTTTGTGTTTGTTTTTACTATGATTAGTAAGAAAGTGTTTTGCAAAACTTTTGTTTCATATTAATTACTTTCATTATTTGAAATGTTGTTACGCTGGATCTTTTTCATCGTAGTACTTTAATGCTCTCCTGAGAACATTTGGGTGTGCAAGTGTTTTTGTTAACACCAGGAAAAGCATATTTAATAATCTGGTTCTCCTCTTAGGTGAAGCACTGTGGTGACTGTGAACCAGTTTTGGGCCTAAAATTAGTTTAAACACTCTCAGAGATGCAGCCAAATGTAAAACTATTCATAATACGTTCTTTTGACCCATGCTCATGTGAGTCACGCTTTACTGACCTTCTCTTCCTCTCCTTGTGTCTCCCTCTAATCCCACCCTCAGGGCTGGCTCTGTGAGCTGCTGCGTTGGAAGGAGGACCCGTCTCCGGAGAACCGGACGCTCTGGGAGAACCTCTCCATGATCCGCCGCTTCCTGAGCCTCGCCCAGGTGGAGCGCGACGCAATCTATGAGCAGGAGAGCAGCGCCGGGCAGCAGCAGCACCACAACGAGCGGCCGACGCACATGATGCACATGTCCACGGACCAGCTACAGGTGAGCGTGACGGCATGTGTCCCAGACGTAATGAGCTCACGTATGATGCCTCTGTGTGTGTTTGTGTGAGAAATAAATGTATTTATTAGATATTATTTTCACACACTTTACAATGAGAAAGCTTGCATGCATGGATACACACATACATAACGGCTGGAGGCTCTAGAACCGACGGTCGTCAAGCTGGCAGATGCCGATGTGAGCTGGATTGCAGAAGAGGATCTCAGAGTACAGGAGGGTGTGTAGATATGAAGGTGTTCAGACAGGTAGGACGGGGTTTGATCATGACTGTGAGAAGCAGAATCTTGAAATCGATGCGATATTTAAGAGGAAGTCGGGTGGTATTTTTGCTGGTAACGATCCAGGAGGCTGAACTCTGGACCAACTGGAGTTCATGCACCGTAATAATCTCAGACCCCTACTCTGTTATTCATGTTAGAACCGAAACGTTACGTGGATTAATTGATAGTCGATCACCAGAAAGTAAATCAGCAATTATTTTGACATTCAATCAGTCACTGAAGTCAAGTTTTTTAAGACAAAATGCCATACATGTGCTTGTTCCAGCTTCTGAAATGTGAAGATCTGCTTCTTCTCTTTATCTCATGTGACAGTACACTGAGTATGTTTTGGGTTTTAGGGTGCTGGTCAGATGAAACAAATATAAGAGGAGATCAACTTTGGATTTAGGAAATTGTTTAATAGAATCAGTGGTACTTATCTTACAGCAGCAGGGTGCCAGGTGTCCCACCAGTGACTTTTTAACTCACAATAAAAATAAATTGATCCACACTGGGAATAAGGTGCTGGAGTGCATAAAAAAAGCATCAAAGTAGAGCTTGTTTGTCAAAAAAAAAAAAAAAAAATGCCATTGAGGATCCCCCGGCCCCCCCGAACAAAGGTGTCCTCAGATCCTAGGGACACCCCTGCATACACCTGACCTGCTGTGAGTGGATTAGCCTCTTGGTACAGATGAGTGAGGGCAGCAAACATTAAAAGGTTGAAAACAGGCACTTCTTTATTGTATATTCTGATAAGTGTTATATATGTGTGATTATAAACTGGCCCCTCGCCTCCTTTTAATTTACAAAAGAGGCCCCCAGGCAAAGCAACTTGAGCTTCTCTGGACTTAAAGATGAATCAATCAGTCGTGATAATGAAATTGATTGTTAAACGTTACCCATATTCCTGTACTCTCTCCTGTTAAACTTCTGCTCACTGTATTTGTGTGTATTTCCCTGCTTTCTCTGCATCAAAAACAAATAAGTAAAAAACATAATTTTCCAGCCGTTCATTTCATCTTAACTAATCTTTCAGGAATTCTTAATAAACAACACTTTGGAGTTTTTATGAACACTCGTTAATTAGAAACACAGCAACATTTAAAAGTTCCTACTTTTCACCGAAAGCTGTTTTCAAAGATATCATTAGCCATGAACTTATTTAACAGAGCTGCTTTATAGAAGACATCTGGCAGATGAATAGAAAATAACACACAGGCTCGGTTAACGGTCGAAATATCTTAATGAAGTACAATAATACTTCTATTAAAAGTCTGCGCCACAGCTGAGTGGTTGATTAGTTATTTGGTTACTTGGAGACATGGCCAGTGTTTCACAAAGGCTGCCATTTACTGGATATAAATAAGGTAATGGGATTTCTTTTACAAATCAGTTTCAGCAGCAGATAAGGAATGAGGGAATTTTGTGCATACTTTGCATGCAAACAGAAATGGCTGCAGATTGATAAAATAGGATTATTTCTGATTTAATGGTGCAGTTTGAAACTGTCCATACGAGACTGCTGTTTAAATATTTCGTGCCGGTCCTCCACTAACACGATACATTAGCCAAATTAGCTCCCATTCGCTCAACAAGAACTATCATGGCTCAGTATATTGGTACAGTAAAATCACATCTTTGGGTGCATTTATGCAGCTGGCAAACAGAGTCCCTGCAAAGTGCTGTTTTGCAAACTTCATTATGAAACACCTATTCTACAGTGTCTGACTCAGAAATGAAAATAAAAGAGCACCCATTTTGCGGGGTCAATAGGGACCACGAGTTGCCCACTCTCTCTCCCTCTCCAACCACACAATGAGACATTTTACGAGTAATGTGTCATGTGTTTACACTAACGGGATTCTGACGGCAGAGTGAAAGCCATCGATAGCATTCTCACACTGCGGCAAATCAGCCAGACCATCGCAACGTGAATTGTGCACAGGGAGCTTGTTTATCACTGCCTGGCAATAGAGCCTGATAAGCAGCAGAGGCTATAATAGAGAGGCCAGTTTCCCACTGTGTGTAAGGCTGAGTGTGTCTTTTGAGTTCATGTGTGTGCGTGTGTGTTGCCTCTCCCCCCACAATGAGAGACACAATCTCCCACTACCAAAAAAGGAAAAAAATCATATCTGCAGAACTGATTACATTCACTGAGATATTCCTTCAACCAAGTGCCTGTTCTATACACAGCGGGCCCATTTTTCCTCACAACTCAATTGATTTTAATGAAAGGCCTTATTAAGGCGCCGATAAGTGTTCACTGATAACATCCCCGTCTCCTTTCTCTTCCCCCTTTTTTTTCCCACTGCAGGCTCCGCCGCCCCAGTCACAGCAGCCCTCCCTGTCCCTCCAGCACCCCTCCCAACCCCTCTTGTCTCAGCAGCCCTTGCAGCAACTGCAGCCCACCACCGGCCCCCGGTTGCCGCCTCGCCAGCCCTCCACCGCCTCCCCGGCAGAGACAGAGGACGAGGGCAGCCGCGGAGGGGGCATCAAGTCCCGCACCTGCGGAGGGAAGATCTCCCTGGAGGCCCTTGGCATCCTGCAGAGCTTCATCCAGGACGTGGGCCTGTACCCTGACGAGGAGGCCATCCACACCCTGTCGGCCCAGCTGGACCTGCCCAAGCTCACCATCATCAAGTTCTTCCAGAACCAGCGCTTCTACATCAATCATCCAGCCAAGGCGCCCAAGGAGCCCAGCAACAACAACAACAACAACAACAGCAGCAGCAGCAGCAGCACCGCAGCCACCACCAACACCAACACCAGCAGCAGCAGCAGCAGCAGCAGCCCGGCCTTCGAGGAGGAGCTGACGGACTTCAGGGAGAGCGGAGAGCTGCTGAAGGAGCTGGACGACAGCACGCAGACCAACAGCACCATCTTCTCCATCAAGATCGAGGAGCAGCTGGCCCGAGGCGCCGAGGCCCAGTCAGAGTCAGAGCACGAGGCCAAGGAGTAGGACTCTCGCCCGTCTGAACACATACCGAGAGTTTTCTTGTGCACACATACAGACTGGTGACTGTGCTAAATGTACCGCTCTGGCCGACACAGAACCACCACACTGCAAATAAAGAAAAGTAGTGTTTTTAATCAGTACAGCGTCTGGACTATATGAGGAGTGTTTATATATATCAGACTGACTATGTGAAGTGAGTGCTCACACACTGGAAAGCCCATTTCAGACTCAAGTACTACTTTTTGGATTTTGTAAAACTTGTATTATTCACTGTAAAGACTGATGCATCATTTAAATAATCTGCACAAAAAATTATTCTAAGTATGTTGCCGTGGATATTTGCTGACTGCACTCTATGTCTGTTGTTTTACACTGACTTACTTTATCTTTTTGAGCTACTGATTATATTTAAAAAGAAAAAAGTCCCCCTGGAGTTTGCTAGGACTTTGATAGGTGTTTACGTATGTGATGTTTAACTGGATTTGTTTTCTTTTCTTTTCTTTTTTTTAAATAGCAAATGAAATCAAGGACCAAGTGGTTGACAAGGCCTTAATTATGAGGTATCAAGTCTGGAGCCTGCTGGCAGATTAGTTATTCTTTTAAAAAGCGCATAATGTGATTATGGATCACTCCAAACTCTGGAGCGCGATCACCCAGCCCAGGTGAATCTCCGAGAATAGCTCAGTCTTTACATATTATTTGTTAGGGAGGAAATATAAATATATATATATAGACATTATATTGTAACTGTAAAAAAAAAATACAGTCTTAAAGAAACTATGCCAACAAATGCCTTGTACTATACGGCACTGCCGATGTTAGATTATTTTGCAAAACCTTTGTCACTGTAACTCTCTGAATTGCCACACAGTTAGAAATGTGAATTACACCATGTTTATGTTGTCCGACATTATTTATTTGCAGTTCATGCAGTGTTTCTGATGTAATTACTTTTTTTAAAAAGTTTATGTTGCGTAGAACTTTTTTTAAAATTCCACCGACCTTTTTTCTATTTATAAATGTGGTTTCGATGGGCAGTAAAAACAAAAAGTGTCTTAAACGTTTTAAATGGAGAAATGTGCTTTAAAGGTTGCCTATAAAAAGTGCTGTATGTCGAGCAACTCATGCTACAAGCTTCACAATTAATGTTGTATGCAATTTTTACTATCATGCAAATAAGCTTAGGTAAAATGACTAACCTATAGAACACCTTAGAGAGAAAAACATATGCAATCTGTGTGAAAATCGATGTCTGCGATGTGTCTTCCTTTGGTTAACAATCCAATTCAAAAAGCTATTCCTGTATAAATATTCTGTATAAAAGTGTTTCTTTTTTATGAGTTTATTTCAATGAGAACACCAGTTATTTTGTTACAACTGACTGTTTTATAAGTGTTTCTCGGTTCCTTTCTGCAGAAATGTTCTAACTAGAAGTGGTTATTGATTGTTAATTACACAATTAAACTGTTTGTATTGTACCACAGATTTCTTGGCATTAACTTGACCAGACTCTTTTGACACCAGAGTGGGATCTTTTTTTTTCCTCCTCTGCAAACAAAAGATGAAACAATGTGAATTGTTTTTAAATCTTCTGCTAAGAGATATCAACTTCCAGACTCCTCCAGCAGCAGTCACTGAACACGTTATTTGTAATAACTGTAAATATCACATCTTATGAATCATTGATTGTTTATTATTGTAAATATATTTGAAGTTTGTGCAAGAGCTCACCGTACAAAAAAAAAAAAATCTGTCGTGCCTCTTCCTCTCAGACCGACTGTACCCCGGGGCTCTTCTACTGCATCTTCACTTCTCCTGCTGAGTGTATCTGAAGCACCTGTGAAATCTGAAATAAATAAATGTTAGGTGTGAACACCTGTAATAGCAAAAGCCCTCTGCAGGGAGTTAAGATAGAAAACAGCACAGGTGTCCTGACCTCGCTGTGAACCCCAGGTGAGGCCAGGTGTCTGCACCTTTAGGAAATTACCCTCACCTGTTAACACCCTGCGATATGTGCCAGCCAGTCTGGGCCGGCGTTCCCTTGATGTTTCTGCTCTTTTTTTTTTTCTTTCTTTTTTTCATGAATAAAAAGCCAGAGTGTAACAGTGTGTGTGTTCAGAGGAAAAGAAAATCACATAAAACATGTACAAGAAGTGTCAGACGCTCTCTGGGGGACGACACATGTCAGGAGGTAAAAAAAAAACAAGACATGAAAAAGTAGAGAGGCGCCATTAAGCGCCATTATTTCCAGATTTTCTGACATTACAAGTGACTTACTCACTGACAAACAGAGGTGAAGGCACCAACAAACAACAGGAACTCCAGCATAATGCTCCTCTTCATTATCACTGTTTTCACAAGGATCAGCCATATTTGCCTCAGACTTAGGAAAGGTTTTTCTACACAGATGGCTAATACTTCCCTAGAACAGTGGTTTTTGAATTTAGAGGTGGCCACAAGAATTTTCCTGATGCTCTCTGAGGCGTAGAGGGAATTTTAAGATTCAGGAACACAAAAACCACTGTCCACATTCAGCTGTGAAAGACTTTTCAGCTCCTTTTTTAGTGGATGACGAGCTGAACAGGATCAAAAACCGCTGTCTCCCATCCAGAGAGCTCCAGTTCTGTGCTAAACGCTGGAGTTTCGCCACGGGTGGGTATCATGGGTGATTGCTCAGAGAAGACTGGCAACAGTTTCTAAACTCCGTCTCCATTAGGCTGTTCGCCGGCTCTCCACGGCATCAAACGCACTTCAAAGACTTTCCCCAGATGTCAAAATAGAAATCATAATTACGACAAGAATGGTGACTGATGAATCACTGACTCTGTTACCCCGGGCTCCTCATGCTGTTGCTTATTTTAAAAAATTAGCAGGCTACACAAGATAAGTTTCCCAGAAAGCATTCATAGATGATGCCACATCATGCTGCGGTGTGCCACTTTTGGGAGAGAAGGGAGAAAAAAAGGCCGAGCAGATACAGAATCTTCTTGTGATATTTGTAGAAATATTTTATGTCGTGGCAAATAAACAGTTTCCACATAAAAGCTCCAGTTGGTGCATGTGGCCTGCTGAGGTTTGGGTGGAGCTACTGAGGCCAAATAAAGCTTCATTTTAACTCAGTCAGATTTGCAGATATGTTGACAATATTTAGCTGTCAGAGGAGGCACATGGCTGTACGCAGAAATAATAAAAAAGGACATGCACTTCATTTAATCCATTAATAAGTCACATTTAAAGGAAAATCATTTATATCATCACTGTTCAGGAAAGGAATGTGGGTGGAAATTTTGAACAGTGAGCGCTTTGCCTCATGTTTGTAAAAATCAGCGTTGGAGGGTGTAATCAGCAACACTGCAGTATAAAATACTGCATTGTAAGTAGATTCATGCATTCATAAAGTCACCAGTGTAAAGGCACATAAATATACTGAGCAAAATGTACTTAAAGTGTAGGTGTAGATTAAGGAGAGGGTTTCAGGGGACGTGTCCGCTTCAATATTTAGAACATGTGCGTTTGTCTCCCCCAGTAAAAACATGAAGGTAGCAGGGGACTTTTATTTTGACAGTATTAAAGACATCTACAACATAAAGTGATGCAGAAAGGACACAAATTGGTGCAGAAATAATTCAACAGAATGCAGAAAATTTAAGTGTGTCATGCTCAATATGATGACGAAAAATAGGGAGTGCTGCACCAGGTAGTTAGATGTAAAAAAAAAATTAGGTGCTCTTAAAGGTTGGGGCGTTTCGACTAGAGTCTTCATCAGGGTGTCACACAACTCTCTACTTGAAATGCAAGTCGAAACCTTTACACTGAGTGAGCCGGCCAGTCGCTGTTTTCTATCTTTAAGTGATGCTCAATTTATTCTGGCGGCAAACCTTTAAAAACCCTGTTACATATGTGTCCCCTCCACAATGTCGAAATGACACTTGCCGCCTTACTAATATACTTATAATGCAGAAAATATATATAATCATACACCATATTATTGCATCGCTAATATTGGTGCATTAATTCATAAGTAGCGTTTCAATGTTGTAACTGTGGTGGAGCTAATTTAAAATATTCTATATACTTTTGGGTAGTTTAATGTATAATACTTAATTTTTTAACTCAAGACATGTTTTGTTTGTAAAATCTTAATCTGTAAAGTAACTAGTGATTTACGCTGTCTCATCATAAATGTAAAGAAAGTACAGCATTCCCAAAATTGAAATTGTAGTGGAGTAAAAGGTCAAGGTCAAATTTATTTATTGAGTGTTTGTGCCAAAGTGCTTTACAACAAGCACGATTGAGCAAAAGGATTATCATGAGATAAAGGGACATGCACAAATACACAGTGCACACGCATACGCACACATGCAGACATTTATATAAAACATGTCAAGAATGACTGCAGGGGTGCGACGGCAGAAAAAGTACACCATGGCATTTAATAGAAATATTCAAGTCCAGTTAATTAAAATAGAGTACCTCAGTAAATGTACGTCATCCTGCCGCTGGTGAAATGCTCAACAGACTCGGCGCTAACGTGACAATCTGAAACCAAACAGCAGTGATGAAATACTTAAGTCAAACTTTTATCACTTCTAATAGGTGTAAGTTATTCCGATAATGTGCTTTTTTTTTATTGCGAGGATGCACATCTGTAGGATGGACACATTTAAAGGACGTATACATGCTCCAGTGAACACAAACCCCCAGAGTGCTCATGAAGATGTCAATCAACGGTGCACATTAACACTTCACAGATGACTTGAGGGAATACTGGAGAAACAGGAGTTTGGGCTTTATGAATCCAGATTTCAAGTGAGCATCATATTCTGCGTGTGTGTGTGTGCATGCGTGTTTGCGTGTGTGTTTTTCCAGCTTGTGTTGTACATCACTTAACAACTCTGAAAGAGGTGGTCTGAAACTCGTCTCTCTGCCAGACTGTCAAGTGTCTCACTGTTGGGTAAACCAGGAGAGGAGCGGCTCACGACTTGGCTCGGTCCCTCGCAGTTTTTCTGTTACATAATCCGTCACATGTGGTACTTAAGCCAGCATTAGCACTCATCAGCCTAATATACAACATTCAACAATTAGTTAAAGAATGTTATAGAATCATGAGGATGATGTGAGAAGTGGACACGACATAAACAGGAGCTGAGGTGCAGGAGAACTCAGACATGTTGTCCTTGTGAGGAACATTTGTTCCAACATGTGATGAGGAGTATAAACTTTCCAAGATCAAGAGAAGCATCTGAGCAGTTTTAGACGGATGGACTGCGCGCCTGGTGACATGTGATCAGTTGTTCCACAGCTGTTCATTTTCCTTCTTTTTTGTTGTTGTGTTTTGTTTTCCTGGCTGTGTATTTATTTATCTATTTAGTTTGGCTAATTATACTAATTAACAGTATTAAAATATGAGTGTTTTTAAAAACCAAATTTGCAGGTGATTTGCACATTTTTGCTCTTCACGTTCTTTGACCCTACAGAGGCCTATAGAGCTCTCAGTGTAAGATGGGATCTTGTTTACTGTGTTGATCAGTGTCCTTTTGCAACGGGAATCGCAACAACTTTAGAAAGCAATGAGATAAAAAAAAAAAAAAGTGTGAAAAGCGGTTTAAAACCGACCTCGTCAGGTCAAAGAATTATGGGATAGACCCTTGTAGGACCGACGTCACAATGAGCTGTAGGCTACATAGGAGTCTTAAAATGTGGTCTTGTTGTGTTATTGGGAGCCAGAATAGAAGGAGTCATGGCTCAAAACCAGCCGCCACTGCTTGTCAACAAAAACAAAGACAACTATGGTTACGTGTGGTAAGACCAAAGGACTGGACGGAGGCCATCATCAAAAATGCTCCCATATGCAACATTTCATATCAGGTTAGGGAAAAAGTATTTCCTGTTGTAGGGATGAATAACGTTATGTGTGTTAAGGGTTATCATGTCTACCTCATCAGAAACTGGGGCGGTTTGGATTTCGTATTAGCTAACGTTAGCTTCAATAGCTAAACAAACCAGAGGAAACCGTTCAAGTGTCGTGCTCCTTTGTAAGATTGGCTTCCTGTGACATCATCCATCCACTGAGTGAGAGCATACAGGTCAACGTCTGGTCCTGTTGGTCAGTGTTTGCTGAGGTCCCGGAGAGTGACTGACCTGACATGGTGCGTTGGTAAATTCAGTCTGACGCTCTACACTAAAATGAGAGCTCTGTTGGTGGAAGGAATGGAGCGTTATATTTCTACATAATTTTACCAAAGGTTAAATTAATCACACGTTCACTCTGCTTGGTGCTCTGCCACTCCAAGAGTGCGGTGGTCTGGATGACTGAACTGTACATTCAGACAGCGTTCCAAATTTACAAACACTCCAGTTTGTGTCAGAGTGCTCTCCGGCATTCAGGATGAGTATTTCTGAACGCACCACTCGTATCATCTTCCTCCATAGAGTGCCGAAGTCACACCCCTTCCGGTAGAGCTCATGGGACCTTAGATCGGAAAAAATATGAATGGCAGTGAATGTGGAGAGCAATATTATCTTTTGTTCCCGTTTGAGTTTCGACATGAAATCCAAATATGTTGTTAATGTATTTAAAACATAAATTTTAAGGTCAAGAAAGTCATACTTTGTGGTAAAACTGTTGAGATATAAGCTTTTTAATTAGAAAGACTCAAGAGGAGGAGGTCGCGTATGTGACGTCATAGCTTTCGCTCGCTTCCTGCAGCTTGGCCTCCCCGTTGAAATTCCACTGTTTTATGATTAATCGATTTATGATTGAAGATGTCTGTGTGTTTTGTGCCAGGCTGCAGTCACTCCAAGCTGCTGGAAGCGAGCGAAAGCTATGACGTCACATACGCGACCGCCTCCTGTGTAGTTTTTCTAATTACGTTTTTTTTCAAAAGCTTATATCTCAACAGTTTTACCACAAAGTATGACTTTCTTGACCTTAAAATTTATGTTTTAAATTCATTAACGACATATTTGGATTTCATGTCGTAACTCAAACGGGAACAAAAGATAATATTTCTCTCCTCATTCACTGCCATTCATTTTTTTTTCCGATCTAAGGTCCCATGAGCTTCACCCGAAGGGGCGTGACACTATTGTCTAAAACAAG